ATTTGGAAAAAGACTGGCACGGCTTGTTTTCTAGCAGTACCTGATGGCTGAAAAGGGGAAGGTAATGCTGCCAGCACTTGAGCAGGGTCTCCTAACAGGGAAGCAAAGAAACCAAATTGCTGAATCACCAACAAAACCCACCTCTATCCCAGCTGTAAAATCATGTTTGCAGCAGACTCTGGTAAAGTGAAGCCTGTGAGAAGAGATGAGCACCAATCTTCTTAAAGTTGTGCCTCTCTTAAATAAATCAACCATAGCAAATGGCTTAATTTGCCATTAGGAGCAATACTATTCAGTATCAGGTTCCTGGTACCGTTTCCCTAGACTCAAGTCTTCCCATCATTTGTAAATGTCATCAAAAAATGTCGTAGTGGGGTTTGGTAAAGCTGCCCAATAGATCCAGCCTCATGTGGTTAAGCCTGGATCAGCCAAACTTACTACACCTGGATGAAAAGCACAAGCAAGCAAACAAAAAATCCTTCAATTATGGTGAGGAAGAAAAACACTGCAAGTTTCTGCCCATGAATACCATCATGTGACATCCAAAATACTGACGTCCTGATCCTGATTGCCTCAGCTCATTTTCTTGGGCATACAGAACACAACAATAGAGCACAAGCTCTCAAACCTCTGAACATTTTACTTTGATAAAAGCAACCAAACTAATAGAGAGGTGGTCTGGAAACCACGTGGGGGGAGATGAAAAAGAATCCCATCATAAATTAAAGCAAAGGAAAAACAGCTAAAGGCACCCGGGAAAGGGCTGAGGACCTCATAGGATACCCTGAACAGCTCAACAACATCAACCTAATTAAAAAATCAGCTGGGAAGCACAAAATTATCCCAGGAAAAAGAGGAGGAAATAGAAGTCTTTCGAGAGAGAGACCCAGAAACTGAGCTAATGATCCCCCGAGCTGTTTCTGGGACACACAGCCGTCTGGGGAGGCAGGTGCATGACTGGGACATGACCTTCCCTTGGGACCCAGGAGAGTCATTTAGCCTCTCTGTTCCTCTGCCTCTAAGGCAATTAAAAAAAAAATCCACCCTCAAACAAACAGTGCCAGGATGAAAAATCCTCTTCCTACAGCCAACAGCCTTGCTCCCAGGAAAGCCCTGCACTTCCCTCTGTAACAGCAAACAAAACAGTTCACGACTTGGTTGCCTTCAACCTGCTGTCATGGGCAGGGTGCTGGTGCTGCCTGAGGGCCTTTTTTGGGATGGGCTGAGTTGTGAGGTGTGGTACGGAGGATTCACATTCAACATGTGCTGCTGAGTGCTTGGCAAGGAAGATGCCACCATCCAGAGGTGTCCTTCAGCACCTCCATTGGGATCTTGGCCACATCAGGGCCTGACTCTGACTATTACATTGAACAAGACTAGACAGCTACTCAGAGACAAGCAATTGGAAAATGTACCAGCAGCCAGGCTCACTTTTCAATGTATTTACTTAACTCAGGAATTTGGGAGCTGAGGAGTCCGTCCCGCACCAGCACAGTTGCATCCCTGTGGGTGCGGTGCAGCGCTGGACTGGGGGTTGCAGAGGTGTTTCACCTTCACCCACCATTGGGTCACTCAAATCCCACTGCACAGGACAACAGCTCACACGTTAAGAGGTCTTGGGATTTATTTCCTGGAAGCAGACAAAATTATTCCTTATGACTTTGATCAAACAAGCTGCATTTCGTGGTCCATCTGTGGAGCACAGATTAGTGCCTTTTCTAGCCCATGGAGAGGGCTGCTTCGCTCAGGTACCCACTGTTCATCCCAGTGCCCTGGCCAGTGAAATAGCAGAGCTGAGGGAGGCTGGGAGCTCGCTCGGGCAAACAGCTGAGTTGTCTGCGTGCTGGGGGGACAGGACGGGCTCAGGCAGGGGAGGACAAGCAGCAGCTACTGCTTCATGCCAGGGTTTCCTCCTCCAGTCCTTCCTTACATGACTCGCCTGTCTTGTACCAGCTGCCTGTAGTCAGCCCCAGTGCCAGGCAGGATGGTTCTGGGCTGGACAGCTTACAGCCCCGGCACGGAGCACCCGGCATGGTGACGGCTGTGCCGGCAAAGGCTCAGTGGGCCTGAAGCACATGGTGGCTCCTGGGCACTTGTCCGCCTGTCCGGCTCTGCTCCTCATGCCTGGACAGATAGAGCAAATCACCTCATTCCTACCGAGGCTGAGGTATTGCACACCTCACCCGACAAACAGGGCCATGACAAACTATAGCAAAAACCCCAGTTTAGGTAAATTCCCATCTGTTTAGTTAAGATAATTTTAGTTTACTACTTTTTTCTTTTTTTTTTTTTTTTTTTGGCAGTTGTGTGTGTACAATTAACTGCAATCTTGGCTTTTCTTAAAAAAAGTAAAGCAGCCTAATTAGCATGTTAAGCCTCCTCATTTCCCAATGCTGTATAATGTTGTGAAAGCTAATCTATAATGTACTGGATGTTATGCAAATTCTCTGCAATCCATATGGGGTTTATAAAGGTATGCAAATTAGAAATAGTGTTTGGAATAGGATGGGGGGAGGGGAAAATTTGCACAATAAAATATGTGGGTAGGAGAAAAGGTGTTTATAACCTTCTCCCATTGTTTGTGTATTCTCAGCTGCAGAATGCTTTTCAAAGCGGAGAGATGTTCTGAATAAAATCTCTCCAAATTGGATAGTTTTTAAATGAAATTTGAAATGAGAGCACTGTTCTCTGAGCAGTAACCCCCACCGCTGCTTCTGCTGGGGCTCGTAACAGGTGGGTAAAGGCACTCACCTTTCACTGACTGCCATTGCCTCATGCACAGCCTCTTGTAGCGGATTTGCCTGGGTGTCACTGGGGGCCTTGTCATGACACAGCTGCCCAGGAGGGTCCACGGGGGTGGCTTGGTCAGGACCTGGCTGGTCCCCGTTGGCATAAACCATTGGGGCAGGTGCATTACCTGAGGCACCCAAGGAGTTTGCAGTGTTTGTGGAGTGTGTGTTGATCCCTTTGATATTTTATAGCTCTATGTACCCGTGGGTGAAAACGGAGCTGCGGTACAGCTGGTTTTTAGGATACTGCTGGTGGAAGGGCTCGGTGCTAGCTGCCGGAGCCCAGCCAGCATCACAGTCTGTCTCATGAGGCTTGTCACTGCCGCCCGTCAGCTGTGTCCGGCTGTGTGCATACAGCCTTCCATGATTGATACTTAATTAGATTACAGCTGCTGCTTGAAAATAGCCATTTTACAAAAATAAAATCTTGGCTGGTGTCAAACTGAGCCCTGTGCAGACCAGGAGGAGTGGTGCTGCCTCTGCCTGGCCAGCTGGGAAGCTCTGCTATGCCAGCATTTCTGCTGCTCGGACCAGGGACCACCTTGATGGCTTTTCCCTGCTCTTGCCCTCCCAGCTGGCCTCGGTAATGCCACGCAGGGTCATGTTGGTGCAGCCCATGGGGCATTCAGCTCAGGAGCTCTTGAACACATGTGTTTTTCTCAGATGTGCCCAGGCTCGGCTGAGCACAGCCTGTACACGGCTCCATGGGCTGCTGCCCTCCAGGGTGGCACCTGGCACCCGCTCCCCTCCCGAAGGGCCCGTAGCACCTCCCAGGGCAGAACATCTCAGCATCAGGCACTGACAGGTCTCACAGCCATCTTGGAGGCAGCTTCTCAGCAGATGGGGGAATGGGGCTTTTCTTCACCAGCTGCTTTTTCCAGTGTCTGCCTGACCCAGGCACGGCAGGGCTCAGCCGCTCCTGCTTCTAGAGGGCTGTGAGCCCTCACAGCCTCTGGACATTTCCCTAAATGCTGCCGTGTAATTAAGCTTGTAATTACGGTGTTTTGTATAGGTTGTGCTGCTCTTTCTCCTGAGTCTCTTCCACTCTGCAATCATGCACTATGGGCAGGGGTGGGAGAAAGGCAGGGAACAGCAGGAGTGAGAAGTGAGGCTGGCACCAGGACAGACGTGGGCTGAGCTCCTGCGTTTCCTCCTTGACAGCCCATATGGGTGGACCCACAGCAGAACATGTTGCAGGGCAGCTGTGTGTGTGTCTGCCTGGTGTTATCCCTTGTGAAGTGGCACAGCATCACTGAGGGTAAGGACCCAGCCCTTTCCTCCCCGCCACCTGCCCCACAGGGCCATGGAGCTGGAATCAGAGCTCTTCCAGCAGGAGCAGGCACTGAAGATGGCCCTGACACAGGGAGCCTGGCTTATGGAAACAGGCAGGAAAAACCCCAAGACATCACAGAAGGAGGAAATGGACATGACAAAACTCAACTGAGGATCCCTCAGGTGCTGCTGTCCCCCAGGGAAGGGATGGACAAGCTCAGGTCCCCCTGGGCTTGTGGCTCTTAACAGCACCACAGTCAGCAGCTCCCTTCATCCTGCCAACAGTTCTACCCTGGGCACTTTCAGCTGGTGTTTCCACATTCATTAATTTGTTTCGTAAAGGTCTGCGTTTGCTTATTTTCTGCTGCAGTTTCCCGGACCAGCAGCGTTCGGGAGGCGGCAGCCCCAGGGGTGAGCAGCGGCGGCTGCCAGAGCTGGAGAAACCACCACTGGCAGGGAAACAGCCATGACCGCTGCAAAACCTCCGTTCCCCAACATCCATCCTGGGGTTTTTGCTTTGCAGATGTGCACAAACATGCACACACACACCCTGTTTTACTGTAAGGAGCCACAACTGCTTGTTTGTGGGGCTTCTGTCTGTTAGTGCAATACAAGGGGTCCTGCTCGATCAAACCCACCATCATCTATAAAGCTACTGTGAACGCTTGTGATTGAACCAAACGGGGGAATTGGACTGGTGTTGTTTCTGCTACCTTCATTTAACAGTGAGTGCCGATTACTCAAAGCGATATGGGCAGGACCTGGTAATATAGCGATGCTCTAGCGTTAACTTAAGGGGATGATCCAGTTGCCTGCAGTGTAAATACTTTGTGGCCAGGAACCCTGCTTTATCGCTTTGTATAGTTTTAAAGTAGTTTAAAGATTGAATAACATAAAATAACATAATATAATGTTATTTATGTTATTTCCCACGTGAAGAACTCCTGTAAACCTTGCAGTATTGAAACTCAGTGAACAAGGCATCTTAGACAAGCTGAAAAACAAATGGTGGTACGATAAGGGTGAATGTGGAGCCAAGGACTCCGGAAGTAAGGTCAGTCGCTGAAGGTCTTTTTGTACTGATTAGCAATCACATTTTGACCCACTGTTTGTTTATACAAAGAATGACTTTCAAAAGTTGCTATTTACATTTTGAAGGTTGAAAGAAAAGAATAGAAAAAAAATAATTAAGTCTCTGAACGTGACAGCATTTTTCTTTTATGCAGTAACAGACTGTAGTTGTAAGTATGTTTTACTATTTGAGTATTTTGGTAGAAAAACATGGAAAGAGAAGCCCCCAAAGCCTCCCAGGCTGGTATCTTCATTTAAATGTGCAAGTTTCAGCACAGTCAATGTGTATTATTCAGGCCAGCATCTTTTCTTATTTTTAGTTTTATTGAGAAAGCACATTTTTGTTTCAAAATTGTGACTTAGATTCTCTACATGTCAGTTTGGGAACCAATCACATGCTTGCTAAGGGTGGACAATTTCAGGACAGAACCATGATAAAGGAAAAAACACCCTTCCTGTCCTATTTTCCCATTCAATTTGACATTGATTTGATTAAAAAAAAAAAAAAAATCTAGACATACTATTGGTAACTCATTACATTAATAATATATATTCTTTTTTATTCTGCTTTGAACCATTTTGCTGCTGCACTGCCCTGTCCCACGCCAGCCATGCTGCAGGGCCAGCAGTCTCCAGCAACTCCTCTTGCAGGTCCACTGTAGACCCCAGTGGAGATCTCACCCCTGAGGTGACAGGTTGATCAACCCGGTAGCTGCACACTTAAATTGCAGGAAGTATTAAAAAGAAAATACAGAGAATTTTTTTTTTTAAATGCTTATGGTGCCATTGAGGAGAAAAACATGGTAGAAGTGCTGGGCTTGTTGGAGCAAAGGACATTTTCAAAGGCACCAAGAGGAGGAGAAATCCAGTTCCAGCTGAAATCACTTGCAGTCGAGTGCCCAACTCCCCTGGTGCCTTGGGAAGTGCTCTCTGTAATCATTCAAACAGAAAACTATAATTTGGAAGCACCCTCTCAGTGTTGGAAGATAATTTTAAGTTCCACTGAAGCCAATAATAAAAATTCATTGATTTCAGCTGGACTGGAAGTTGCTTAGGGCACAACCCTGGAGCTGTTGTGTGAGATAAATTTGGGATCTTGTGACATCTGGATGCACAGCAGCTGCGGAAGGAAAGTGTAATCGAAAAGAGGTGTAAATGAGTCAGATCTTTAGTCTAAATGGCAGGCTGTTTGCTACAACTGCAGCTATCCAAACCACCTGTGAATTCACAGACACTTACAGGGTAGATCAGATTTTCTTCCGACTATATGCAAGTTTTGCTGAACCTGGAGATGCCAGTAAACCGAGCTCCATCAGCAAGCGTCTCCCTTGCTGCAGGTTGCTCTGGCACCTCCTGTCCATCCCTGCCAGCACCGAGACCTGCAGCCCGCCCCGCCTGCCCACCCAGCAGCACATGGTTGCAGCTCTCCTTAATCTGATGACAGAATCCTGTTTTTAAAAACGCAAGCCTTCTCCCCCATCTGACATGTATTGAAGGGAAGGGAACCCTGGGCAGCATTTTTTGTGTTACAATGCCTGGTTTTATTTAGAAACTCACTTTCCCTCGGTCACCAAAGGTGCTAGTTTAGCTTAGGGCTCTGCTGCTTGACCTTAAAGTAACTGGCCATCTTCCTAGGGTGGTTTTTTGTTTCCTAACTGTTGAAAAACAGGTAGATAAATTTAGCAGCATCTCAGTAGTTTTATCTATACTCAGCAAAACCAAGCGTGTAGTGGTTCGGGTTTTTCTTTTTCTAGTTTTATAATGGCCTTCTGTAAAACCTGCTGGTTTACGCGGCCACTGCTTTCCCCGTCAGAGCTTCCCCAAGGTGCCTTTGCCACCCGAGATGCTCGGCCCTAGACAGGTTTGCTCTGGGATACCAAAGGCCTGGGGAAGTCAGTGACCAAATAAATCTCATTGCCTTGGAGTCTTTGGCGGGTTTCACCCTCTCAAGGGTGAGAGCCAGAGCAGTCACTGCTGCACAGCCCTGGGCTGCTGGGGATTGGGGGGACAGCACTGATCCATGAGCGGGACACTGTCAACACCATCAGAGTAGTAATTGGAGCTAGGACTTAAGAGCAAAGTAGCCTGTTGTCTGTCTGTCCATCTGCTCCTCACAGCAAAACTAACGGTGTGGCTCATTTCTCTTAGGACAAGACGAGCGCTCTCAGCCTGAGCAATGTTGCCGGGGTTTTCTATATCCTTGTCGGAGGCCTCGGGCTCGCCATGATGGTGGCCCTGATCGAGTTCTGCTACAAGTCTCGGGCTGAGTCCAAGCGAATGAAACTCACCAAGAACACGCAAAACTTCAAACCTGCTCCTGCCACCAACACCCAGAATTACGCTACGTACAGAGAAGGCTACAATGTGTACGGCACAGAAAGTGTGAAAATCTAGGGGTACGGCTACGGGCCGGGAACTAGAACCCTCTGGGTTTTCTTTCTTTCTGCTTTTTGTTTTTTGGAAGCTGTGTGTGATATTTTGTTGTGTGCATCAGCAGACAGGGCTTTTGAACCATCATCTGGTGGCAGTCTCAAGAGTATAAGTGATTTAAATTTCTTCCCTGAGCAGAAGTAAGCTCAGTACCTGGATTACAAATGGGGATAGCTGGCTTCATGCTGCAGTAACTCCTTTCTCCAGCATTGTGCTAATTCAGTACATACCAAAGCATTTTGTTAATTGCTTTAAGAATTACTGTAACCAGAATTCCCATCTCTCTTGCTAATGACCTCTGCCCTGTTATTTTTTTAAGCTATAATTGGGTCAGGTAAGTGCTTTTAGAAATTGTCCAAAAAATCTACGATAGAACAAAAAAGTCTGCACTAGAAATAATGATTTCTAAAGCACAAAAAGTAGAGTTGAATTGCTGAAAAACAACTCTGGAAAAGCCTGGTTTGCCCATCGCCCACAGGCTGTGCCTCTCCCCAGGCTGATCTTCCCCGTCCCTCGCTGCCAGGCAGTGATCAATTATTTCTGATTTTATTATAGATCCTCACCCTGAGAGCATGCAAGAGAAGAAGCAGCAGAGAATGTGGCTACTTCACGGATTTGGACCACCTGAGCCAGTCATACTCTCTCCGAGGTGTCGGGCATGACACGCATTGATGATGGTGCAATGTACTTTTAATAGGAAAAACTGATATTTTTTCCTTCAGTGCCTTATGGAAGACTCTGAGACTCACAACAATGCAAACCATCACCGAAATATTCTTGCTTAGCTTGAAAGAAGAAAAAGAAAAAGAAAAAATAAAAGAAAGAGAAGAAAAAGAGAAGGAAAGAGAGAAAAGAAGAAAAAAGACAAGAAAAAAGAGAAGGAGGGAAAGGAAAAGAGAAAAGAGAAGAGAGAAAAAGGAAAGGAATGGACTGGTAACAAGATATTAGTATGTGAAAAATAATTCTTGTAAAAAAATCAGTGCAACAAAAGCCATTCTTTGATACCACTGCACAGTAAATGAACTTGTGTTCTGACAGCAAACCGCAGCCGGTTTCATCAGCCACCCCGATCGTATCAAATTATGAAACTCCTCCTGACACAAAGCCTCAGAAATCTGCTGCGTGCAAATGCGGACTGACCTGTCACTGCTTGTATGAGCTGATGTCAAGATGTTTCAGTATTTACTTACCTGTGGTGTGATTTATTTTCTTTTGTTTGAGCCACTTTCAACTCTCCAGCTAATTTGAGCAATTCTGTATAGCAGTAAAAGCTGTAACACCTGAAGGAAAGAATCTGTGCATTAAAACCAGTTAAGGTCAATGAGTGTGAATCTGTAAATCCAAAAGAAAGTAATTTGTGGAACTGCATGTCTTGCTTCCAGATCAGTAAATTAATTTCTTGACAAGGTACCTAAAGTGCAGGCAGAAAATATTGCATTCCTTTTTTTTTTTTTTTTTTTCCTATCATCAGGCATACCTACAGGTGCTTTATTAAAATGATGCTGAGTGGCTTTTAAAAATGAAAAATAAAAAAAGCTACTTGCTGTTTAGGTTCAGACCATATATCTCTTTTCTTGCTGTGCATTTGTGTTTTAATTCACTGTTTAATATCAAGCAATGAAGCAAGAGAAGCGCAGGTTAGTTTTTCTGCTTCTGCTTCACCCCAGTCCTCTCACAACTAGCACTGTGCTCAGCTAACGGCCGTTTTAAAACAGATGTAAGGAAAGAGGATAGTAACTCAAATTAGAGCTGCAGTTCCAGAGTAATATTAAGCAATTTAACATGACTCCTGCTAGTACTGTTATATTATATCAGCTCCTGCCAGCTCTTGTTTCATGGCTACTGGTGGGAGGATGCTCCTGTCCTGGCCCTCTCTGCAAAGAGGAGACAGCGCTCCGGCCACTGCTGTCCAGGCAGGGGCTCGCTATGACTCACATCCAACGTCAGACAGCAGCAACGTTTCAGCCTTGAACCTCTGCCTGGAAACTACTGAACTTCACCTTTAAAAAAAAAAAAAAAAAAAAAAAAAAAAAAGGGCAAAAAAAAAAAAAAAAAACCTTTAAACATATTGTCAATCACATGGGAAATGTTCGATGGAATATCTGCATACTAATTACCTCTAATCGACAATATGTATTTCTGTAGTTTACTATAGAGTTTTATTTCATCAGTAACATACAATGAAAAAAGAAACTCATTTAAAGCAGTCTGACCCTTAGGCATTTAGTTTGCTGATGATAGATTTGAACTTTTATTAGGATTAAAAAAAAAAATAAAAAGATTATATGGGGAAAGTCTTGTTAAAAATAAGTATTTCCAACAAAATGTAATATAAAATCATTTTAAAAACTCATAGGAGAATAATTTATTGTTCGAGTTTTTAACAAGATATTGACAAAAAATTGTTGTTTTGTTTTCATTTTCTTTTCATGAAACTGTGACTTTTTTTTTCAACTTCTGAATGCGATCACGTCCCCAGCAAGGGCGAGCTAAAGCTGTGTGGTTATGAGTTGTATTTAAAACAAACATTTTTCTTAAAAGCTGTATAAAAGATGTATGTTTATCAAATCAATTTTTAAGAGTGGAGGCTTCACACCAGTGAAGGGAGTTTGGTAAATGGTTCAATATTTTTTAAACTTGCATGTAAAGCTAAAACAAAACGTGTTGAGTGCTTACCAATTCCAGCTACCAACTTCAAGCTATCGGAAGTTCGGCAGTAGTCTCACGACGATTTGTTTCGGAATATTTTTTCCATTTGTTTTGCTTTAGGGGATTTTGGGGTTCTTTCCTTTTTCTTCTCTTTTTTTTTTTATTTCCTCCTTTTTGTTCATTTTTTTTTTTAATTTAAGTTCCTATTTTTAGTCGTTGAAACTGCACTTCAGTGAGCAGAAAAATTGCCAATCAAACTAATGGCTGTAAAAGCATAAACTGCATGTGTGGGCATCAATTACTGAGCCTCATTTTAATGAGGTGTTGTACAAAGAGTTTTAATACATTTTGTAAATAAAATTGTAAAGAAAAAAAAAATAAAGAGCCTGCTGATCTTTTCACTGGAGGAGAGAGAGTCCCCATCTACTGATGTCCCTTTGGCCAGGCAAGCCTGTCTCTCCCTATTTGTGGCATCACAGGTATTTTGTTTGGGGCTGCCACTGCTTTGCCCACAGTACTGAACCCAGGACGCGGCTGAGAAATGCGTATTTCTGTTTGGTACCCTGCAAACAAACTTATTTGATATTTTTTGATGACATAAACTGGTTGATTTTGGCCAGGCATCCTGCAAGGAGAGGGGCAGGAGAGAGCCCCTGGGCTGCGCCCATGGCGGGAGGGGCTGTGCCCAGCCCCTGCTGTGAGCAGCAGCCTGGGGAAATGAAGTCCTCCCATATTGACTGTACAGATGTATTTTCCCGCAGTTCCCACATTTTCAGTAATGCTTTAAAAAAAAAAAAAAAAAAAAAAATCACCCAACATAACCCCTAATCCCAACTCCAACTTGTTGCTTTTACCTCACCCACAGGTTGGTTTTTCCAAGTCACCACAAACTATGAACCACAGGAAGCAATCCTGTTATTAAACAGCTGGTGTGGACCCACATCACACTGAGTAGGGGCAGCCCCTCCGAGGTACCCCAGCCCAATCAGCCAGGTGGTCCCCATCAGGAACCAGCTCCCACTGGGCTCCTTCCAGGGGCCACCATGGGTGATGCTCCCCTGTGAGCACCCAGCACTTGCTGGTGGCTGAGCTAGAGCAGCATGAGACTTCACTCGAATGGCTGGGGATGGAGAGATCATGTCCTGAAGAAGAAACATCCAACAGTGAAGGTCCTAGGCAGTGAGCCCTGCTGCAGAGCAAGCAGATGTGGGACCTGAGCGATGGGTTTAGTACCTGCTGTCACAGCACACCCTGAAATCCAACTGGATGAGCTGTGTGGGGTGACTCTACTGTGGAGAAAAATGTGTGGCAATCACATTGGTACCTTTCCCAGGTTTCCCAGTGCCTCGTGGCATGTCCCAGCTGTGGGGCTGCTGAGCCTGGCCCTGCTCCCTGCAGAGCTGCCACCAGCTGCTGGAGCATATTGTACATGAGTACAGTGGTGGGACACTTCTGAGCCCTCTGCATGTCTCCAGCCAAGTCTTCATCAACAGCTAAATAAACTCAGGAGTAAGCAAACACTAAGTAAGAGCAACAAACAGCAGTTATTTTACCCTAAACCACCCTACAAGTCTGAAGGTTTCATGTTGGTTTGGGGGTGAGACATGGGCGGCAGGGACAGACACATCCCTCACCTTGGTCCTGGAGGAGCCCACGCTGAAATGAGACTATTTATATGTAAAGCACCAACGCAGTGAATGGAGGGAGGCACAAAAAATAATACTGTTGTGCCTTTTAGCCTTTGTTTCACGCTCAACATCCAGGCCAACACGGGCAGGGTGCGTTTAGATTTCTAGAGAGTATTCTTGACCCACTCCCCACTGCCTGAGGGCCACATGCAGCCCTGCACCAGCCATGAGGCTGAGCAAAGCTCCTTCCCCATGTACCTGCCAAAACGTGCCACTGGAGCAGGGCTTAATTGTCTGCTGAGTCCCAGAGCCCAGCTGGGAGGGTATGAGTGAAATGACAACACCAGTCTGATAGACAACCCCAGCCCAGCGTGGGGTCATGCTGAGCACCAGATCCAACCAAAATGCCTGTTATGTTTTCTAATAAATATGCATCAGGCCGAAGAAGGCAATTAGGGCTGGGGCAGAGTGGCATGGCTGCACCCAGGGAGCTGGGAGAGCCCAGCCAGGATGGGGACAAGGGGGACACAGCTCCATGTGGGAACACAGTCACAAAGACAAGGCGTAGGAGCGGGTCCGGCCATCCTGGGCCAAAACCTGGGGCTGGCAGGATGGGGCATGTCAGGCCAAAACCTGAGCTCCAACACGCCCCAAAGGAATCTTGCCTTTAGAATTCTTTTTGGGGGGGGATAATATGAGGAAAAAAAAAAAAAAAACAAACCATATCAGAGTAATACATCCAGTTTCCAGAGCCATCAGTGGGAGCAAAAGGACCTCAACTGTGTTCAAGTTCAGACCTTAAAAGCCTAAACCCATAGCAGCTCCTTCTCACAGCAAAGAGCACATCTGACAACAAAATAAAATAAATAATGATAAGCTGTAATGCAATCCCCACTTTTTTATTATGGCATAGTTTTCCTTTCAAGGTTTTGTGCATAGCACTGCAACATATTTAAAAAAAAAAATTATTATTTATGGTTATTAAAATAATAATAAGTCATGGTTATTAAAATTAAATTACAAAATTTCTTTGGTGCTCATATTCATCATCTCAGTCTGGAAAATTGTCTGTATTTTGGAGGCAGCAATACATAAACAAGCTCTGGATAATGATGGCTCTATTCAATTAAACTGAAGGATTTAAGTACAGAGATAATATTTTCATGGATATTATAAATTTCAAAGTACTACTAACTGAGAACATAATACATCCACTATTGGCTCCAGGGAGGACAGTGCCCACAGCAGCCACAGGGCCCACACCCCGGCACGCTGTGGAGCTGTGCTGGGTGCAAGGCCTGGGCTGCTGCCAGGCCATGGGCTGATGCCAGCAGGGTCGGGGCAGCCACTGCCACGTCTCGCCCAACCCGGGAGCCTCAGGCTGGAACCCCACCTCTGCGGTGGGACCCCTCCTGTGTGGTGCCCTGTGGGGAGGCAGGTTTGGCTAAAAACCCCCCACTCCCCATCACCCCAGCCCTGCTCTGGAGCTGGATCTTGTCTGCGTTCCTCAGTCATCCAT